AGGGCCGCCACCTGCCTGTGACCCCTTCACAACCTGTACCACCTCTCAAGAATACAAGAGTGGAATTCTCAGTGCAGGTAGATGAGGAAGATGTGGTTAGGGAACCCAGTTCTGGTGCATAGTTTCCACCCCGCCCCCCCAGATTGTGGCCTGAACTCCCAGTGGACACAGCTGCTTTTTTTCTTGAGCACCTACTGCATGAAGAGCACGGTGCTGGGCACTTAGTGTCATGTCACTTATGCTTCACCACAACCTTGGGGGTGAATTTAGACTGCCACCTTCCACAGAAGAACAGAGGTTCTGAAGGTCAGGTCCCTAGTCCTCAGACACCCGGCTAGAAATGACAAAGTGGAGATCCACACCTGGGTCTGATCTATGGCCTATACCCGCCCCCTCTCCTCCCAGTGCCACTGTGGCTCTCCTCCTCTCTCTGCTGCCAGGTGACACCAGGGCATGATCCATGAGTGCAGACTCCACCTCATGGAGCACCAGAGGCCGACCCACACCCCCCCTGGGGAGCCAGGGCTCGGCCATCTGCTGGCAGGGTGTGCTGGGCCCTGCCTGACCCTCTTTCTCCTCTTGCTGTAGGACAAACAGATGGATTTCTGTTGGGATCCTTGGCAGGTCAGTGCACTTGCTGTCCCCAGTTTAGCCAGCCACAGCTGACACCGTCTGCACCTGCTGTGCCCAGCCCAGGCCCACATCCTGCCAGCCCTGGGTGGGGGGATAGGACCTCCCTGGCTGTACCTGCCCTCTCCCGGCCCACCACCCAAGGGCCTGGGGTGGGCTGCATGACGCGGTGGTGTGGGGACACCCTCTGGCGGCCTGCCCTCCTGCTGACTCCTCCCTGCTTCCTCCAGAGGTGCTTCCAGACCACCAACGGCTACCTGTCCGACTCCAGGGCCTGCTCCGGCAACTACGGCGTGGCGGCCCTGGCCACCTCGTCCCTTGTGGGTAGGTTCCAGCCGCCTGCTCCTGCCCTTGGAGCTGGTATGCTCCACCTCCTACATGAACTTGGGAAGGCAAAGCTGAACTGCCGCTGGAGGACGGCGGCCCTTTGGATTCCTTGTTTTCCAAGCGCCGGGCTCCATGCTGGGCTCCGGGTGACCGGAGGGTTCCTGCTGCCAGGGGTTGAGTTGTTGGCTTCTGAAGACGCTCGAGGTTGGCCCAGATTTGGGGGACGTCTGTCTGGTGTGGTCTCCCTGCCTCTGTGCCACCTGCGTCTAGCGGAGCCTGGAACAGGATCCTGCGCTGAGGGGTCACCCTCCAGCCCAAAGGAGTGTGGGAGGCGGCCGGGGCTGCGGGGGCTGCTCAGCCTGGATGCGGTCCTGGGAGTCTCCTGCCAGCCCCCAGGGAGCTTGCAGCACCAAGTGCCCCTCAGAATTGGCAGCATTTGAGGCAAGGGGGCTGGCTGTATGTCCCCCACTGGCCAGTCCTGCGTGGCCCTGGGAGGACTCTGCCACCTCGCGGCCTCTCAGGTGGGGCAGCCCCAAGCCTCGGCGGCTCTCCAGAGAGGGAGCGGGTGTGAACCAAGACAGCGCACCGGAGGCACTGGGGTGGGCACGCAGCCTGGGGAGGGCGGGCTGCGCTGCTCCGGGTGGCACTGACCAGCCTTCCGGGCCAGCCCACCTGTCAGCCAGCTTTGCGCCCCCCACGCCTCAGGCCCCCCTTGCATGAGATCCCTCACGGCTCCCCGGAGCACCCTGCTGCCCACGCTCCCTGGAAACAGCTTCCCCTGGTACCTGTGAACCCCACTCCTCCAAACCCCCGACTGCCAGCACCCCGCCACCTGGGGATTCAGCTCTCCCGCTCTGCCTCACCTGGGCCTTTCCTGCCGCCCCAGGTCCCCATTTGCTTTGTGGCCACCTCTGTGGCTTCAGGAACACTGTGAACCCCAGGTCTGTGTTCTCGGCCGCGGGTCACGGAGACACAGAGCCACCCCGCCAGCCCTGCCCCTCCGTCCACGCCTGAGAACCCCCTCCTCCCACCATTCCAGTGGCCTTTACTTTTTCTGGGTCCCTGCAGTGACCCCCCGTGGTGCCCTTGCCTTCACCCTTGAATCCTGATCCTCCAATCAGGAAGCTGGTCCTAAATAGCAGGGCCAACCGGTCCCTCTCCTGCTGCGGCCCCCGCTGCTGTGAGGACACCTGAGCCTTAGCCTGGCTCTCTAGGCCCAGCCTGGCCCCTGGAGGCTCCCATCTCCTGCTGTCCTAGTCCTGCGGTCATCCCCGGGTCTCCCAGTGGGGCTGGAATCACACCAGGCGCTTCCCGCCTCTCATCTCTGAAATAGCCCCAGCCTCGCCTCCACCTGCCCGGTCCCAACCTGCCTCCAAACTCCGGGCCATTCCTCCAGGAAGCCCTCCCTGCTCAACCACCCAGGCCTCACTGTCAGCAGAGCTGAGAGCAGAAATGCTCCCAGGAACTGTCCCTGGGTGGGCGGGGCGGGGGACCCTGGGTAAGAAAGGAAGTGAGGTGGTGGCCACCTAAGAAAGAAGCGCTCAGTGGCCCACGTGTTCACTGGGAGGAGGACATTGGGGGGCAGGCATGTGAGTGGGTGGGGCCATGTGAGGTGGGGCCCAGCTTGGGAGGGCACAGGGCACAGGGCAGGCATGGGGCAGTGAGTGAGGCATGGGCTGGGCATGGGGAAGGCACAGGTGCAGCCACTGGGTTCTGTCTGGCATCGGGCTCGGGGGATGTGTGGCTGTGGGGTCCAGACCCTGGGGTGGGCCGAGGGTATTGGGAGTCCGGAGCTGGGCCTTGTGGGACAGCCATCGATTGCCCTCAATGACCCAGGGGTGGTGCAGAGCATCAAGGACCACATCACCAAGCCCACGGCCATGGCACGGGGCCGCGTGGCCCACCTCATCGAGTGGAAGGGCTGGAGTGCCCAGCAGTCGGGCTGGGAGCTGTCCCCAGCTGAGGACGAGCATTACTGCTGCCTCCCGGATGAGCTGCGAGAGGCTCGATTTGCTGCAGGTCAGCAGGGGGCAGGGAGGTGACAGAGGTCACCACCAGGTGGCCACTGTCTGGGCAGGGAAAGTAGAGGCCTGGGGTGGGCAGGGCATGAAGTGGGCGTCCTTGGTCCCCTGGGCACGGCTGGCCAGCTCACAGGCCCGCTCTGGCTGGGAGGCCCTGCCCACCCCGCCTGCGCCCCCAGTGAGCCGGCCTCACTGTCCCCCAGGCGTTGCTGAGCAGTTTGCCATCACCGAGGCCACTCTGAGCGCCTGGTCTTCGCTGGACGATGAGGAGCTGCACCCCGACAGCAGCCCCCAGGACGCTGTCCAGCTCCAGGGTACAGCCCGCGGGGGCCGGGTGGGGAGGGAGGAGCAGAGCACAGGCCGTCCCCTGCCCTGGCACCAGCTGCAATGTGCGTGGCCTCCCCTTCCTCCCCTCAGCCTCGGTTTGTGCTATAGAATGGGACAGGGGGTCCTCGCTCTGCATTGGCCACGGCGTGCCCCGAGCAGAGGGACGGCCACTGCGATGTAAGAATCAGGCGTCTGCCACACTAGGCACTTCCTTAGTCTCCACCGCAGCCCTGGGGAGCAAATCCCATTGTCCCCACCCCAGAATAAGGAGACCGAGGCGCTATGAGGTCCAGAGGCTCACCCGAGAGTCACAGCTGGGAGTGTCCGAGCCAGGATCTGGAGCCGACCCCCAGGCACCCCCAAACACCTTTCTAGAACTCCGAGCGACTAGGGAGGGGGTCAGTGAACCTGGGTCCTGCATTAAGTCACCTCATCTGATCCTCCCTCTGACCCGGAGGGGAGCACTGGTTGTCCCAGTCCTCTGAGCCTGCTCTTAACTAGGAACTGGGCTCAGGGGTTCCGAGCTGTGAGACCAGTGGGTCTCGTGCCCTTGGACTCCCTCACACGCCCAGAGAGGGCAAGCAGGGGACGCAGGCCTCAGCCGCCCCACACCCGTTTGGTTTTCCAGACCTGGAGAGCATCTACCTGCAGGACAGCCTTCTGAGCGTTCCCTCGCAGGACGACAGTCTTCTGGCCTTCTCTTCCCCCGGCCTCTCCACGGATGGCTGCCCCTCGCCCCAAGAGCCCCCCATCACAGCTGCCAGTCCACCGTCCCCCAGCTCTGAACAGCAGTGTCAACAGCAGCTGTTGGGGTGCCTGGGGCCCGAGGGCGGGGCCCACCTGCAGGGCTCCCTGCCCTCGGTGAACAGCGGCTCCCTCTCTGAGGAGGACGAGGTGTTCTACAACTGAGGCTGACCCCTCCGCTCCAGCGTCTGCTCAGACCTCCACCTTGCCTGGCGGGCAGCCCAGGATCTCCGGGACCGTGGGGTCCGAGCTGGGCATCTCCTGACCCTCAGGGCAGGCCCGGGAGGTGCAGCAGGGATGAGGCCAGCACTCCTGTGGACCACTCTGTGCCTCTGCGGACCTGCCCAGCAGTGGAAGCCATGGTCTCCCTCTGTCTTCTGAACTTGGTCAGGTGGGCACCTTCCCTGCAGGCCTTCTGCCCTCAGTGAGCTCCAGGACTCTCAGCAGATGCCAGGGCAGCTGGCCCCAGGGAGACCACCATGAGAGGAACTACACGACCATATGGAGCCTGGGACCCCACCTGGAGCCTGCTCAGCTCCTCCCTACTCCCCCTGTGCATCTGTCCCTGTCAAAGATGGGGTGGTCTCTACTGGTCGCTCAGCGCCCACTCCTCCGCTGTCTCCGGAGGGTCTGTTCCTTGCCCTCTGAGCCTGCTTCCTTGGTGTCCCCCCCGACCCCGCCCCATCTCCCTCAACGTTCTCTGGTGACATTAAAGTGGTGGATTCACCCTGGATGAGCTTGGCTTGGTCTCTGCTCCTGTCGGCATGTCCTTGGGCCCTGTCTAGAGGAAGTAGGGAAGGAAACGTACCGCTGGTTGACCAGCAGCCTTCCACATGGGAGAGGCCCCGTGCAGGATGCCCCAGGCTCATGGACTCCCCAAGGACAAACCTAGGGGACCCCACTTGATCAGCCATGGCTCAGCCAAGGAAACTAGGGCTGGAGTGACAGTAATTGTGCAGAGTCCTGTTTATTCATGAGAACAAGCATCATAGGACCTGGGCGGGGGGGGGGGCTCTCTCCCCAGCATCTCTCTGCTGGGGAGTGGGGCACGAGGAGAAGACCAGGGATCCAGGCCTGCAAAACCCAGGTGGCCATCAGCAGCCTCAAGGGCTCACTCTGGGCTAGCACAGGGGAGCCAAGGGGCCAGCCCCGGGAGCAGGATGGATGGCCGCTCAGGAGCACCTCTATTTTTCTCAGGAGCTTCTGGTTGGGAACAGACAACCCCCAGAAAGCACAGGTGCCATCCCTTCATTCCTGAGCTTCATGACTACTCGCTGGGCACCCTGTGCCCCTCATACTCGCAGCCCCATCCAGGGTGGGGTTTGTCCTTCAAGCAATAACTGCTGTTGGCCCCAGGATGGGACATAGCGAATGCAGGGCCTCTTCAGGGCTCCATAGCGCTGCCTGCTCCACAAGGCACTGAGCTGGGCTGGAGGGGTGGGTGGGTTGTGGTGGGGAAGAGAGGAAGGTCTCTGCCCAGCCTGGCATGGGGTAGCTGGGTGGGCTCACTTCGGGGCAGGTGGATTTGTCAGGTTGGAAATCGCTTTCTTCAACTACAACAGAGAAAACGGGGTTTGGGGAGAAAGCACGTGGAGGAGGCTGAGAGTGGGGCCCTGGTGTGGTGACTCCCCTAGTGGTGGGTTCTTGGGCCAGCATCTGAGCTGCAGCCTCGTGGTTGTGCAGAGGGGTCCCTGCAGCCCAGAGCGGCAGGCCGGCTGTTAGGGGAAGCCAAGGCCCAGTGGCCACATTGGTTCAGGTATGGGGCTTATCAAAGTCTTGCGAGGCCCCCCAAACCTTGAATGGAAGGATGTTGGTGGCCCCCACCCCACATCGCCCTGCCCTTGAGACCCTGGTACCTCCACCCAGGATACGAAGCCCACAGCTCTGCCCCGCGACGTCACGAAGAGGGACTGAAGGTTCAACAGCTCAAAGAGGTTGTGCGTCTGGAGGGGAGGTTAGTAGGAAATGTTGGTGGGCAGAGGACCCTGTGCCAGGACCTGAGATGGGGGGCGGGCAGGCCGGGGAAGGAGGGATCTGGCCTGCAATATCTAATGTGACCACCAGGGGTCGCCAGAGTCCATGCAAGGAGCAGGGCAAGGCTCTGGTGGAAAGGTGGCCTTTACCAGCAGGGTCCCCCCCAGACCCCTGGTCTGTTCTGCTCTTCCCCTCCCCAGGCTCTGTCCTGAGTGGATACTACACAGGGAGCATGCGCTGGACCTAAAATTAAAAGCCACCAGGCCCCACGTGACACTTAACCCCTCTCTCTACCCAGAGGCCTCTGCCCTGGCGGTGAGGGGCAGGCAGGCGGCACCTGCAGAGGAGGAACAGGCCCCGGGAGCAGAGAGCAGCCCAGCACAAGGGAGGGGCTGCCAACTGCTCCGCCCACCCCGCAGCCCGAGTCTGCCCACATTCTCTAATGCTCCCCGGTACCTGGTGCAGGGAAGTCTCTGGGGACAGCTGCAGGGTCACTGGTTCCATGGGGCAGCCCCCAGCCAAGATGTCCTGGAGACACCGCTGGAGATGGAGGACACACAGTTGGGCCCTGGGCCAGGCTCCCTCCCCAGGCTGCCATTCTCAGGCCACCTCTCGGGCAGGTCAGCTGGCCCCTCCCGTCACTACCCGCTGACCTCCCCGACTCATCCCTCCAGAGGACCTACCTGTTGTCCTGGAGCCCAGGATGGGGGGTTGGTCTGAAGGGCCTGCACCAGCGGGGCCCTCGGCACAATGCCCACCAGGATCTGAGACTCTAGCAAGCGGAGAGAGAGTCACAGAGAAGGAATTCTCCTTTACCAAGAATCTACAGGGTCAAGGACAGTGCTGCTGCGACCCATGTCTCTGAGGGCGTGGGGCAGCCTAGGTCTGCTATAACCCTGATTGCTCACTTTACAAAAGAGGAAACTGAGGCTTCGAGGTGCAGAGAACCTCTTGTCCTGCCCAAGGTCACCCAGCTTCTGGCATGGGGGTGTGGCAGCTCAGGTGGTTGGGGAAGGCTGCCGGGGGCCAGGAGGGTAGCAGGACTGGGCTTCCTCCTGGTTTCCCACAGGAGGTTCCACAGCCAGCTCAGCCAGGATAGGAGTGAACCCAGGGGGCCGCCATGTTCTGTGATCCTACTGTGTGCTGGGGGCTCGGCAAGCCTCTCTCTAGCCCTGGGTTATCATGGGAGTTTGCAGGTTTGCACGTGGGTTTTGAGGAGCAAGCTTGGTATTTTAATCTTGCGTCCAGTAAAATACAAACTCCAGGGCTGGGCTGGGTGTGCAGCTCAGGGCTAGAGCACCCACCTCGCGTGAGTGGGGCCTGGGTTCCTTCCCCAGCACCACAAGGAAAGAACTTGAACTAGAATTATAAGCACCCTCCCCCCGTAATCAACAGAGCTGTTTCCTGGGTGGGCGTTGATTCTACCGCCTGGTCCCCTCTGCTTGGGACCTCCTTGCTTCCTGTGACTCAGTAGAAGAGATCTTTCAAGGAAAGCCTCTTGGCAGGGTCAGCCATGTGCAGCATCTTTAAATGGGATTCAGGCCTGTTCTGGAAGGTAGTGCCGAGGGTTTCCTTAGGGTGCGGAGGAGTGCCTGATATTTGGGTGATGACCTCTAGCAACTTTCTACCATAGTGATCCCCGTTTTCCAGACAAGGGTACTGACTTATGCAGCCACAGTTCTTGAGCTCACAAGTGGCCTCTTGAGGCGGCACACAGGGGACCCATAAGGTTGTGCAGGTTGCTCACTGCTCCAGCTGCAGCCCAAAGGGCAATTAGGGACTAAATCCAGCTATGTCGTGTGCACCTGGTCTCACTACACAGAGGGAACGTGTGGCTGGTAGTAGTCCTGATGGAGCAGGGCCACCCCTCCCCAACTTATCTTCACTTAGATACTGGACTTTCAAACAGGAAAGATGTCTGGTTCACTCCTTCCCTGAGATTCAGTTTCCGTGGAAGAGCCACCATTCATTTGTCTTTACAAACATGCTTTGTCACTGGGAGAAGGCACTCAGGTAGGGAATTCTGCAGGGAAGCCTGGAGGGAAGCTTCTGGAAGACCCTAACAGTGGCCCATCAGCCTTCCCCAACCCACAGGCCACCAGGCCTGGCTCCTGCAACGAGTCCCAAAGCTGCTCATGGGGTACCTTACAACACCCCTCTTTTATCCCTTAAACACGTGGTTTTATGTCCATTTTACTGAGGAAGAAACTGAAGCTCAGAGAGGTGAAGGGACTTGCCCAACATCACACAGCTGCTAAGCTGCAGAGCCTGGATCCGGTTGGGATCTGCGCCCGGGCTGCCTTTTCTGGTCCTGCTCCTTGGAGGCCCTATGGGAAGGCAGAGGGAAGCCCCCGCCCCAGCCCTTCCCTGGGCACCTGTGCTCTCTACCAGGGGGTACTCGGCCACGTCTGTGGAGGTCACGACCTTGACCACCTCCTCTAGCCGCGTGTCCTTAGCCAGCGTGGTGAGAGTGCAGTTCATGAAGTGCTCCACGGTCACGGGGTGGGAGCTGCGGGCAGACGGATGCTCCCTTTAGGTCCTGGAGTGGGGACATCAGACCCCAGGATGGGGCAGGGGCCCCTGGGGGCGTGGCTCTGCCGGGACAGGACCCACGATCCTCCAGTGCGGGAGGAGACTGAGGGGCTGCTGCAATGAGTGCCTCGCGGGACCCTACGGTGGACAGGAACCTGGGGCCATGTCACTGAGGCCCTGCGTCCCCAGCTCTGCTGGGCTGTTCTATTTGGCAGCCTTCCTGGAGAATCTCATTGGAGGGGAAGTTAGATGGGAGGGAAAAAGACACTTTAAAATTTGGAAGCCCCTGGAGTAGCCACCCATGCCTTGCAGCGGGCAGCTGAGGCCTGGGGCAACCTAGCAGTTTGCATCCGGGGGCGCCGAACCTCAACCCAGGGGCCCTGAGCCTCAGAGTCCCACTTCCCTGGGGACAGGAGCTGCGTGGGTCCTCCCTGGGGGAGTGAGGGCCTCGAAGCCCACTCCATGTCCACCTCCAATGACCAGCACAAGGACCACAGAGAAAGAGCCAGGAGGACAGAGGGGACCTCAGATCTGGTGCTGGCCCTCAGGACCTGGCGCAAGACAGCACCTGAGCCCCAGCTTGGTGCAGCCAATGTGGCCCCGGGGAGGCTGAGGCCAGGGGCCCCGTGTGCCTGCCCCTCCCACCCCTGTCCCACATGGCTGCCAAGGGGCTTCTTTGGGCTCCCCCACACAGTCACCGGGCCTGAGCTGCCTGCTCACCCGATTTTGCGGCCCCGAATCCACGGCAGGTAGGGCAGCTTCTTGACAATGATGGTGCCGTCGTAGAAGGACGGCTGGCAGCTCTGGGCGATGGCGTTGGCCGCCAGCACCGCCATCAGCACGGGCAGCGCGTGCACAATCTGACCCGTCAGCTCGAAGGCCAGCAGTGCCGTGGAGACAGTGTGTGTCACTGCCCCGGAGAAGGCCGCAGCCCCTATGGGGCAGAGCCGGGGTGGGTGGCTCAGGCGGGAGCCAGCCTTAGGGTCGAGGTGGGCAGGGCCACGACAGTGGCCAGGGTGGGAGGTGGCCAGGGTGGGAGGTGTCTGGGAGGTCCCTGGCAGCCACCACTGGGTGCACCCCAGAGCCTGGGCATGGCCAGAGGAGAGGGATGGGGGGATGTGACACCGGGACAGGACAAGAACTAAGAGGGAGTCAGGAGGTGACAGGTCTCCGTGGGGGTGGGGGTCAGATTGAGGGTCTCAGTAACCACTCATGTGCCCAGCAGTGCCACCAGCAGATCCAGGACCCCATGAGGTTTGTGCCCAAGCCGGGCCCTGACCACTCACCTGCCAGAGCATAGCCCCCCGGCAAGATGGGGTTGACCACTCCTCCAGACACGATGCCCTCAGGGAAGGCCACGGAGAGAGCCTCCCCCAGGAGGCGGCCGATGCCAGCTCCTGGACACAGACAGGAGGGTGACAGGGTGAAGGGGACAGCCCTCTGTCCCTGGGACCATCCTCAGTACCACCTCGGGAGGAAGGAGAGGAGCCAGGAGCCATGGCCCTGCCCCTATACCCTGGGCCTCCCAGACCCTCGGGACCCCAGACTCACCATAAACAAATATGGGCAAGAAGTAGCCAGCGGGGATGGGGATGGTGGTGGCCAGGATCAGCATCCAGAACTGGGGGTGGGACCCAGAGCCCCGAATTAGAGGCCTCAGAGCCAAGTGCAGGGCAAGGGAGGGACAGGACAGAGGGAGTTCCTAGGGAGGGGCTGCCATCAGGGATGGCGCTGCAGGGGATGGTACCGACAAAGAGCCCACTGTGTGCCTGGCACCTGCCAGGTACTTTCCTTTCTTCCCTCTCAGCCTTCCCTGGAGGCAGAAGCAACAGCAATCCCATTTAGAGACAAGACACCAAGGGTCAGAGGGCCGAAGCTACTTGCCCTGGGCACCCAGTGAGCAGGGATCAGATCAGGGACCCTGGGTGGAAGGGCTCCAGGCCGCCTGAGGCAGCCCCAGCCCGCCCAGAGCTGGCCTTGGCTCTGGGCACACCTGGGGGCCCACCTTCATGACGAGGAAGAAGGCGAGGGTCCCGAAGATGGTGAAGCGCGGGTGGTACCATTCGAACCACAGGTTCTGGGGGTCAAGCTCCGTGGGCCAGGGAGGGGACGAGTTCCGGCTCATCAGTGCCCAGGAGTTGTTGTCGAACAGGGAATCCAATAGCTCCCTCATGGACAGCTGCAGCAGGGTGGCGGGTGGCAGTTCTGCATGTCCCCAGCCCCCTCACTGCCTGACCCTGCACCCCAGATCCTACTCTGCCACTTCCCAGTGAGGACCCTGGGGACAGCCCTGACCTCCCGGAGCTAGCTTCCTCACCTATAAAATGTCACACAGCATCTCCCTTGGAGGGTGTTCTGGGGACTAAGTGATAATGCTCACAGAAGGGGCATGAATGGGGTCCCCCACCCCCGCCACCCGCCACCCCCGTCTGCCGCCCCTTACCCTGGAAGCCAGGAAGCGGCCCACGCCAGGCGGGTAGGTGATGGAGGCCAGGACCAGGGCGACCAGGACCGAGTACAGAGGCTTGCTGGGTTGAGAGGATCGGCTCCAGTGGGGGCCTCCTCTCCCCAAGAAGGGGAAAGGGGGCTCACCCAGGCAGGGGCTGCTCCCACCACCCCGGGGCTGACCCCAAGGCAAAACTAGGGTGGAAGGAGGCCGAGCAGGGGTGTGGGTCCGACACCCCAGGGGAAGAAGCAGGTGGGCTCAGCCCTCAGGACCTGGGCTCACGGGACAGGGCAGGGCAGGGCAGGGCAGGCCAGGTGTCCTGGCCGAGGGCAGGGAAGACAGGTCTGGGAGGGAGGTGGCTCAGGGAGGGAGTTGGGGGGCAGTGGTGTGAGGACTCAAGGAGGGGGCTGGGGTTAGTGCAGGGGCTGGCTGTGGGGACTTGCACAGGGGTCAGTAAGGGAGTGGGGTCTCCCTAAGTGGAGTGTGGGCTGGGGGTTGTTTGATGGTAGGATAAGGGCTCAGTTGGGGGTACAAGGCTGAAGTTGGGGACTCCCTGAGTGGTCCCCAGCCTCAGCCCACAGCCCACCTGGTGGCCAGCAGTTTGGAGGTGAACCGATTGGTCTTGACGAAGCCTAGGAAAATCCGCTGGCAGAAGAGGTAGGCGCAGCTCAGGATGCCGCAGATGGCCCTGCGGGGGACAGGAGGTGAGTCCAGGGCCCCTGCCCACTTGGGCTGGAGGAGGCCCCCAGCTGGCTCTCAGGGACCAAGCCCGGCTCACCCCAGTGCCACAAAAAAGAAGATCTCTGGCAGGTCAAAGGGCACGTCCACGCGGAAGCTGGTCTTGTAGAGGGAGGTGATGGTCTCTGGGGCAGGAGGGCAGCGGGGGTCTCAGGTGGCACAACAGGTCGGGGAGGAGGTGGAAGCAAAATCGCCCCTCCCTCAAGGCCCCACCAGCCTCCCTCTCCAGCTCCAGGCCACCCCAGGGCCCACCCCAGGGCCTTCCCCCTCCTCCTGCACCCCAACACCCTCCCACCCTCCTGGAAGGAGCACAAAGAGGACACACGGGGGAGAGGGAAGTGGGAGGGGGGCGGACCAAGGATGGACGGAGGAGGGAGGGAGGGAGGAGCGGGACAGGCGCCAGGTGGGCACCGCAGTCCCGGGCTCACCCTGCTCGCTGTTGAAGACGGCCAGCAGCCGGAACATGAAGGCCCCACAGGTGGAGGCAAAGAAGCCCCTCCAGTAATCCCAGACGGAGAAGTGGGAGGACATGACCTCGATGCTGAACAGGACGCCTGGGGCCACACTGAGCTCAGGACAGCTGCCCGCCCCCATCCGCCCTGCGGGAGCCCCTGCCACCCCCTCCCTGACCTGCTCTGCAGCCTGGACAGCCAGGGCCACCCATCTCCCTGGAGTGGCGGAGGTCAGGGCTTGAGCCCCGGGTAGAGAGGAAGAGAGGACCTCGCTGACCGGGGAGCACCAGCCAGCTGTGGGATGTCTACCCGTGTCCTTCTTTCTCCTCACCTGTCACGCAGGGACTGCTTTGATCCCCATTTTACTGCTAAGGAAACCCAGCTCAGAGAGGTGAACTCACTGGCAGGGGTCACACAGCGGGAGCTGGGCTTCAAACCCACGTCTGTCTAAGGTAACCCTGAAGCCACTGAACACCTGCCAACCTCCTGGGGTGGGGGGTCGTGCCCACAGCAGGACGGCAGTGAGAACTAGAATTCAGCCCAACCCCTCCTCCGGACCCGGGGCGGAGCAAGCGGACCACAGGGGCGCGTGGGAACCCGAGTGCAGGGGCAGGGGCAGGGGCGGGACGGAGGGTCTCACCGCTGAAGGGGGCTGCGAAGACGGTGGCCACGCCCACTGCCGCTGCCGCCACCAGCATTTCGTTTTGCTTGCTCTTGTTCTGCGGGGTGGAGTCCTGGGATGGAGCCAGCCTCCTCCCCACGCGCCCTCCCATTCCTCCAAGGGGCCTCCCGGGCGCTCACCTGGGGCTCCCCGATGGTCCTGGTGCGCACGCGTCCCAGGTAGGCGGCAATCATCACACTCAGGTGCACGAAGGGACCCTGCCAGGGCGAGGCGTGGGTGCAGGGCCTGGGGAGCCGGGGGGCCCACCCTCGCTGCTGGCGGAGCCTCCCCAGGGACAACAGGTTCCCCTCTCTCACCTTCCTCCAAACCCCAGGGCCGTCCTGATAGGACTCTGCCCCATCTGGGGACCTGTCTTGCCTGTCCCCCCAGAACTGAGCTCAAAGGCAGGACTGGCTGTGGTGGGGGAAGGGCAGAGGGGCGGAAGCCGGGCGGGGGGCCCCACACTGCCCTTACCACTTTGCCCAGGAAGATGGTGCTGCCGGCGGCCAGGGTGCAGGAGAGGCCCACCACCTTGGCCCCGAAGTTCTTGATGTCCAGGTAGTCCTCCAGGACCACCCCCGACAAGATGGTCTTCAGCTCTGGGATTCCAGAACCTTGGCGGGGAGGAGGGCAGGGTGAGAGTCAGTATTGGAACTCTTAACCCTCTGCCCTGGGCACAGGGTTTTCAGGTCACCATCAGGTCAGAGCCTCATACACCCACGCGGTTCCGATTCAGAGCCTCACTTTGCAGAGGAGGAGACTGAGGGTCAGAGATGTGGGTTGTTTTCTGCTCAGGTCTGGCAGACCTCAGTGGCAGGGTAGGGGGTCCCAGGGTGGAATGACAGGCCACACTGGAGACGCCTGAGAGCCACCACTCTCTGGAGGCTGCACTAGAGGCCTGGGGAAGCTGGCTGCTCCAACAGCTGCTCCTTGGTCTGGCCTTGGCCAGCCTGTCAGGGGAGCCTGCCATCACCTGTCCTGTTCCCCCCACCCCCCGGAGCCCCATGGGACTTCAAGAGGCTTGGGCCTGTGAGGGCTGCAGTGCAGGACCCCCGAGAGACTGGCATGGTGCCCACGAACTCACCGCCAGAGAAGGGCGTGATGCTCTGGGAGAAGCCGGAGGAGAAGGAGAGGAGGGCCACTGGGTACACGGTCCAGGAGAGATACCGGAGCAGGTGGCTGTCCCCAATCTCCCGGTACAGCCACTTGTGCGCTGGGGATGGCCAGGTATCAGGGGACCACCCACAGCCTCTGCAGCCCTCAGGCCTGATGCTGTGGGGGACACTTGCTCACCAGGAAATGGAGATTCGCAGCCACCCAGTGAGTGGCCAATCCCCAAGAAGTGGTAGGAGTAGGACCTGGGTCCCCATGTCCAGTTTTGCTACTTCCTAGCTGAGTGACCTTGGGCAAGTGACTCAATCTCTCTGGGCCTTTGTTTTCCCATCTGCCAAACGGACCAGTGTGGATGCCTCCCTCTCAGGGTCACCAAAGACTACAGGAGACCTGTCGAGGCCTGAATGAGACCCGGTGTGAGGCCCCTCGGGTGACAGGTCCTCATTAAGGCAGTGGATTCTCCAATGAAAGTTCTTAGACCTCTCCTGCCCCATGCCTCCTCCTCCAGGGAGGCCTCAGGGTGGAGGCCAGCTGAGGGACAGGGACAGAAAGCCATATGCCTGGAGTCCAGGGTAACTGAGCTGAGAGCAGGGAGTGAGGCTGGAGGAGGAACAGGAGGCCCAGTGCTCAGCTGGGAAGGGATCTGGGAGCAGCTGTCTCCCTCACTGTCCAGATGAAGTGACTGCCCAGAGAGGGCCAGGAGCTTTCCCAGGGCCATACAGCAAGTCAGCAGCAAAGCCAGGGTCAGCCCCAGGCCTCGTCCCCAGGGCCCTGCCCACCCTGCTGCGCTTGGCAGCCCACGTGGCATCCCCGGTGTGTGCTGGAAGCCCAGGTCCAGAGCGGGCGTGCCAGGGAGGGGCTACCTCGGACCACTCGCGCGATGGCGAAGTTCATGGCATAGCTGATCAGGGCCATGAGCACCCCGAGGGTCATCAGGAAGTACCAGTCCTCGCCCACGCGGAACAGCTTCTGCTTCAGCCACTCCAGGCCCCCTGGGCAGAGCACTGGGTCACCTCCTGGGGGGCCAGCAGGGACAGCCCTCCCTGGAGGACTTCTGGGGCGGGGGCGGGGCCAGGGGAGCCGGAGGCGGCTCTGCCTCCTGAGGGCCCAGAGGACTGGGGGCAGGTAAAGCCAGTCCTGTTGCCCCCCCAGAGAGCCTTTGACTGTCCACCCTCCCCCGCATACTGGGAGTCCTGTGGAAAGCGGTCAGGGGGTGGCCCGGAGCGGGTGGCAGTTACAGCCCTCGCCAGCGTCTCGGCAGGGTCTGGGGTGCAGAGAGCACGCAGTCAGCAGGACCTGCGTTGTCCCAGGGCCTGTGGGCCATCGAGCCCTGGGCCCCAGGCAGCACCCCTCCATGGTGGCCAAAGGCAGAGGGCAGACCCTGGCACGGCTGGCCCACAGACAGAGGGGCAGGCAGGCCCCTGCTCTCCCTGCCACCCAAGAGAGCCTGGGCAGCGCGGCCAGGGCTGAGGGAAGGGAGGGGCTGGGGTGGCTGGGGCTGCAGGTGACGTCCTGAGGGGTCACTGGTGGGCAGTGCAAGGGACCCAGCTCTCACCTCGGATGCCTCGGCGAATGCGGGGACACGGGCCCCACAGATCCTGCAGAGTCACGGGGCTCCCCGAGGAGCCCTCACGCAGCCCTACCAGCTCCTCCATGGGGCCCTGAAGAGCAGACAGACAGACAGACCCTGGGTGAGCAGCCTCAGCCTCACCTGCCTCCAGCCTCTCCAGGTCTCAGTCTCCTGAGTGGAAAGGCAGGTCCCGTGTGCCTGTGTAGCTGGTGCATGTGAATGTGCACTCGGGCACTTATCAGGAGGGGACGCAGGTCCTGGTCACAGAGGCTCTGTCCCCGAGGGGTGGAGGGCGTGTCTGATGGTGCACTGCTCTCCTGGGACCCTAGGCTGCTTCTACCACCCAGGGATGTCACTGTCTCACTGCAGGGTCCCCCTGGTGACTCTGATCCCCCACGCCCATCCCTGAGCAGCTGTGACCCTCCACTCAGGCCGCAGGAGGCAGGAAAATCCCAGGCCCAAAAGGAGACCCTTGAGCATCCAAGTGAGGCCCCGGCCCCAGGTCCCAACCATGTCCCTGCGCTGCTCCGGCAGCTCCTCACCCGTCAGTCCTTCCTGCCCTGCTGTCCTGCCGTGGCCCCGACCGGCCTCTTCTAACAGCCTCTTTGCGTCCAGGTCTAGTGCACCTGGACAGGTGTGCACTCCACCAATCAACACCCTCCCCGCCCCCGCCCGGCCCAGGTTCACTGTGGCATTGAGAATGTCCTTGACAAACCAACCAGAACTGCCTGAGTCCACTGAGCCTGCAGAGCAGGGCTGCCCACGGCGGGGAGGGAGAGGAGTGTCCCCTCCACACCAGAGCTGGCAGAGAGTGGCAGCTGACTTCACAGCAGCACCGGTGGGGCTCCTGGGGGCCGGGCTGGAGGGGGACACCAGTGCTCCTGTAGGACAGGGAGAGGTCCTCCGCTGAGGCTGAGGGTTAGGCTTGGGGCTCTGGGTTCTCAGGGTCGACCTGGGAGCGGGGGAGCGGGGCGTGGAGCAGGGGAACACACTGGCAGCAGGTGGGGAGCATGGCTGTGCCCTGCCGAGTGCTGGCAGAGCTCAGTCCTCCGAAGAATGACCGAGTGCTCACAGAAACCCAGCGAGGTGGCAGTGTCATCCTGTTTTTTTGTTTTTGTTTTTGTTTTGTTTTGGTACCAGGGATTGAACCCACTGAGCTACATCCCTAGCCCTTTTTATTTTGAGACAGGGTGTCACTAAGTTGCTTAGGGCCTCCCTAAATTGCTGAGGCTGACCTCCAACTTGCGATCCTCCTGCCTCAGCCTCCCGAGCTGCTGGGATTACCTGAGTGCCTCACTGTGCCTGGCAGTGTCATCCTGTTTTAAAGAAATGGCATCACAGAGAGGTAAGCTTTCTTGCCAGAGATCAGAGAGGCAGGCCGGGTGTGTGGCACACCTACAGTCCCAGCTACTTGGGAAGCTGAGGCACGAGGATCGTGTGAGCCCAGGAGTTCAAGCCCAGCCTGGGCAACGTTGCAAGTCCCCAAGACCCCATCTCAAGACACCACCACCGTAACAACAGAAAACAGCCAGATGTGGTTCTGCCCTGATGGCCCCGTCTTGTTCAGGGGCAGGAGGAGCCCAAGGACAGTGGCCTGGGGTGACTGAACCCTCAGAGCCTGCTGAGGAACTTGGGAACTTGATCTTTGTGTCTGGACCCTCAAGTCCCAGAAAACTGCCTGTCAAACCCACAGCGTCCTGGGGCACCGGCTCTGGCCTAGGGCCTCTGGGTAAATGCCCCAGACCTGGTCTCACCTCAGCAGAAGCTAGGAACACAGGCATCAGGGGGAGGGTAAGGGAGCAAGCAAGCTTTGTGTGCCAGCCACTGGCTCTACATCTGCAATTCAGCTCATCCTCCCCACACCCTTGGGAGTCAGGGATATCATTACCACTTTGAGGATGATAAATGGAAGACCAGAGAGGTGTAGTCACTCAGCCGAGATCATACAGCAGAGGCTGCACTCAGACCTAGACTGTGCAGCTCTTCCCCTACTGGGAGTTTCTCCAGCCATGATCTGGGCACAAAGCTGAGGGTTTCTATTGCCACTTTTAGAAGATTTGGGCAAGGGATATGGGACTATTGCTGCCCACACCAAAGCCACCACTCTGAAAATCACAATGATCCTTCATTGATTTGCTCAGTTCTGGGACCCTGAGCTGCCTCTGCCCTGGACGCCAGGCCAAGTCCATTCAAGTAGGAGCTGGAGCGTTGTTGGTGATGTCAGGGGGTGAGGGTTTGTGCTCTGCATGGACTGGGCATGCCCTCACCTCAGCCTCTCTGACTGTCCACCATGGACAGTCACAGGATTGGATAGGGACTGCCCTGTTGACACCTCAAACCCCAGTCTCTGGTCTCAGGCAGCTGCCACCACAATCCCACGGCCAAACCATGCCCACACCCTTGATCCCTGGTCCTTTGAGCACCAGGAAACTGGGAAGAGGGCAGCAAGGAGACACAGTCCCTGGGGCAAGTCCCTCCCAAAGCCACTGTCCCCAAGCCAGCCTCCAGTTTCTCCAAGTGCCTGGCAGATGTACAGATGGCTCAGTAGGTTCCGAGCAGGTTTGAAGCCAGTTCTGCCAGCCAACCCTTTCCCCACTTAGAGCCTCGGTTTCCTCTTCTGCCCAATGAGGATGGCCTAGGACAGTGTGTGCCTGTGCCTGTGACCGCCAGTGCCTCCCACATCCAAGTGCCCCAGCCTAGAGCAGTGCCCAGCACATGGGGGAGGTGTTCCACCCCAGGTTCCAGAACCCTGGCCTCAGGGCTGGCTGTAGGGGAGCTGAGAACAGGTCTTGGTTCTTCCCAAACCCCAAATCAGAATCTTGGGGAGTGACTTTCGCCCCAGTACCGAGGATTGAACCCAGGAGCACTTTACCACTGAATCACGTCCCCAGCCCTCCTACTCTCATTGGGACACAGGGTCTTGGCTAAGTTGCCCAGTCTGGCCTTGAACTTGCGGCCCTCCTGCCTCGGCCTCCTGAGTGGCTGGGATCACAGGCCTGTGCCCAGCTGGCTTTGGGGAGCTATGTTTGTGAAAAGCCTCCAGGTGGGTGGGGCCACCTCTGGACTCCAGGGACTGGATCCTCCTTGAAGCTCCTCCCATTCCTGTGATCCCCAGGAAGAGGTCTAGAGTTAAGGAATGGCCTCGATGACCTTTTGAGGTTCCTCCTGGCCACTGAACCATTCAGTATTTATGTGCATGACGCCTGGGGATGGGGGAAGGGAGGAGGGCTGGTGGGCGGGGTGGGTAAAGGGATCCGACGTCCAGGGGCCATGACTCAGGCCCTGGGCACCATGACTGAGTATCTGCATTTAGCCCTGGCTCCTGTCACCCCGCCGGGTGGCGGGCTCCTGGGCCCCCCATCCTTCCCCCACCTCACTCAGTGCTGGTCACTTCCCTGGGCGCTGCCAGAACCCCCTCGGTCAGTTATGTGACCGGCCAACACAGGCAGGCATCTCATCTCCACGGGGACAACAAACTTCTCTTGCTGCAGTGCCACCCTGGCCCCTGTGCCCTGCCTGCCCCTGTGTCACACACCAGTAGCCCCAGTGATGGCAGGAGTTCCCGAAGGGAAAGCTCCGGGCTGGGCTTCATGGGAGCCGAGAGGAGAGGCCATCCCTCTGCAGGGACCCCCTGTCCACAGGGAGACCAGAGAACCCTGCCCGGGAGATGCCCTGGCAGATGTGGGGAGGATGCTGCCCTCTTAGATCAAGGAAGGCCATGGCACAGGGACAGGGACAGGTGTCATGGGCACCTGGACGGGGCTCTGGGTGGACTGGAGCACTCGGAGGCTTCCATGGGTGAGGGAGGGGTTAAAGAGGAGAGTGGAGGTCCCTGACCTCTCCTGGACAGGGCAGGCCACCCAGAAGGGCCCCCCCCCTGGCTTCTACCTCCTGGCCCAGCCCTCAGCGTAGCTCTCTGAGCAGGGGGTGGACAGACGGGGCTTCTCAGGGCTTCGGGTCCAGCCTGTTGCCATAAGCGCATGTTCAGGAAGGGTCTGGATCTGACACCTCCGGGTTCCCGACCCTTGCTCTGAGGTTCCATTTCTCAGTCTTTAAAATGGGCACATTTCTCCTCCTTGTGACTGTGGGGGCCAGCGGGGCCTGCTGGAGAGCCCACAGTGGGGCTCTGGGCCCAGAAGGCAGGACTGGAATACTGTCTCCAGAATTCTCGTCAACTCAGATCCTCCGACTGCAGCCCGGGATCTCCGGAGCTGGAGGTCAGGCTCGCAGTTGCTGGGAACTTGACCTCCTGGATCTTTAGGGACAATTACCAAGTTATCTGCCCCCACCCCCCACCCCCTGTGGGCCCACCCCCAGCTCTGCCTGGCGCTGACAGCTTTCTCCTCTCTGGGGCCCTAAATGTTCCGAGAAGGGGATGAGGGACACGGAATCCAGGCCCCGTGGCAGTGGCAGGGTCACAGCCCACACTCTACCCGCCCCCAGGGCTGTCTCAGCCTAAGCCGGGCTGTAAACAGAGCCGTGTGCATCCGAGGACCTCAAGGGGTTTGATGGGGGAAGCACAGTCCCTAGAGAGTCCCCAAGTTGCTGGGGGAATCACCAAACCCACATGGTCCTGGGACAGCACAGGACTCCGTGCCTGGGGCCCAGGGCCCACCCCTGCCCTGTGGGCACGGAGGCCTGGAATGCCAGGGTGAGCTCAGCCCTCGGCCTGCGTGCGTCCGGCTGTCAGCAGCGCCGATTCTCCGGAGAAGACTTCCAGCCCCCTCTGGGCCGTGGAGAGGCCTAAATTTAGCTGGTAGACAAGGGGGCTGGCCCCGAGCCCAGCGACTGTCGGGCCTTATAAAGCGCTGGCAGTCCGGGCCAGGCACGCTCCCCTGGAGGCCTGCGCCACATCCTTCTCCTGTCTTCCCCTGGCCGCCTGGACAGGCCGGTGTCGCCCGTGGATGAGCCACCGAACCTCCTCCTCCTTCAGAGCGGAGAGAAGCTTCCACTCCTCCTCCTCCTCCTCCTCCTCCTCATCTTCCTCCTCCTCCTCGGCCTCCCGGGCCCTCCCAGCCCAGGACCCCCCCATGGAGAAGGCCTTGAGCATGTTTTCTGAGGATTTCGGCAGCTTCATGCGACCCCACTCGGAGCCCCTGGCCTTCCCAGGCAAGTGCTGGGGGCTCTGGGGGGGGGGAGATGCTCAGGTTGGGGACTCCCACTGGGGCTGCCACCTGCCAGGACAGAGGTGGTCCTGAAAACAGGTGGGCCTCCAAGGAGCCGTGGTGGCCCTGGGGTGAGATATGGCTTCAGTGACCATGCACCTGTGACCAGGCTCTGGCTGGGACCCTGGAGGGCTGGAGGGGACAGAGATGTGGCAGGCAGCCCGAGCCTCCTGGACTGGGTGGGGCCGCCGCAGACTGTGTCACTCAAGTGCACACGCACACACTGTCTGGAGGGAGGCCCGCCCACCACAGAAGCTGGGCTAAGACGGAGGGGCCCCCCAAGCACCATGGAGGGGAGGTCACCTGGGACAGCCACCTGCTTCCCAAGAGAAGGACAGAGAGCAGGTTCTGGACACGACCCCTGCCCATGCCCAGCTCACCGCCGCCCTCCCCACAGCCCGCCCCGCGGGGGCCGGCAACATCAAGACCCTGGGAGACGCCTATGAGTTTGCAGTGGATGTGAGGGACTTCTCCCCCGAAGACATCATCGTCACCACCTCCAACAACCACATCGAGGTGCGGGCCGAGAAGGTGAGCCTGGCCTCCCCCTGCACCTCCCCTCTGCACCCCTGCCTAGTCCTGCCCTCGGTGTCCCCTACTCCCACCTCCCATCCTGAGACCTCAGACCCTGGCCAGTGTCCCCTGCCCACCCAACTCGCCCAGGGCACACTGGAGATCTTGTCCCTGCAGCTCCTGGGTCAGGGGTCCTCCCACCCTCTGAAAGCTGCCAGATTCAGCCTTCAGGAGCCCGGGCAGCTGAGTGGCCTAGGGGTGGGCAGGAGGGGGGGGATGTAGACTGAGGGGACGCCAGGGGGTGAGTCACAAGGATGTGACAGGAGATAGATGGAATGGTGGCATGAGGACTGCAGTTCTGGCAACAGAGGGCGGGGTGTCCCCACTGCCACACCTCCATCCCTCTTCCACCCAGAGCCAGAGGCCCAGGCCTCACCTTGGGGCCCCCAGCTGCAGAGGCCCTGCAGTTCAGGGTCACACACTCCAGACCACACATTCCTCCACCCACAGGCTCAGGGTCACTGGGTCACTAGGGTCCCTGAGTCTGAGCTCCCAGGAGACACTGGGGCCTTCACCCCAGAGAGGGGCGGGGCCGAGCCTGCAAGGAAGCAGCCCCAGACCACTGTGGCCAGTTGCCTGTCAGGGATCTGCACAGGTTTCTCTGTCCCCAGCGGCCTCCTCCCCTGTACACAGGGAGCTGGTCCCGAGAACCCCGGCCACCGGTGCTGAGGACCAGGGCCAGGGGCAGCACGTGCCAGCCCTGTCACCCTGACGGTGACTCAGCCGGCCAGACTCCTCTGGACACTATGTGCTGGCTGAGCTGTCGGGGAGGGCGGTGGCCTGGTCCTGGTGGGCGGACCCAGGGTGTCTGGGTATCCAAGAGGGCACTGCTAAGGAGCCCCAGAGTCCTAGTGTCTGTCACGGAGCCTCGCCCTCGCTGCGGTCACCTGGGCACCAAGCCCCTCTTCCCCCATTGGGACCACTGGAGTCCTTCCATGCACCTCTGCACCTGTCCCTGCAGACCCGTGGCCGTGGCCGCCCCTCCACACGTGACAGCAGAACCCTCAGCACTCGGAGCCCGGCTGGGATCAGAGTGGGGAGGAGGGCTTGTGGCTTGAGATGAAAGGACAGGGCTGAGGGGCAGCCTTCCCTGACCTGTCACCCTCCCCAGCTGGCGGCAGATGGCACAGTCATGAACACCTTTGCTCACAAGTGCCAGCTGCCAGAGGACGTGGACCCGACCTCGGTGACCTCAGCCCTGCGGGAGGATGGCAGCCTCACCATCCGGGCGCGGCGTCACCCGCACACAGAGCACGTCCAGCAGACCTTCCGGACGGAGATCAAAATCTGAGGGCCTCCCCCACCCGCCCTCCCAGCCCACCTCCCCTTGCCTGCCAGACAGGTCTCCCTGTCCCTCCACGACGGCCCGCAGGACATCACAGCCCCCCACAGCCCCAGGCCCCAGGCGGGCTATCCCCTCCAACCAGGGCCCTCCCCTCTGCCCAGGCAGGCCAGGGACCTCCTTGGCCCACCCATGGACCCCAGATTCCAGATATGGTCTCCTTTACTTAATTCAGAATACAGGGGTTGGGAGGGGCAGGGAGGTCCCAAAGAACCTATTTTGGGAAAACAGGATGGGGACAGGCAGGGCTTCTGGGCGAATCATCTGCAGGATAGACAGGCAGACAAACCTTTGATCTGTGGAGTCTCTGCAAGGCAGGGGCAGGATCTAGGGATGGGCAGAACAGGGAAGGCCAGACAGAGGTGGTCACCTGGATGGAACTGCAGGAGGGCTCACGGAGGCCAGGAGTCGGCCATCCCAGAGACCTCCCTCTGCCGCCCTCCAAGCCCCAAACCAGATGGCAGGCTGCCCCCTGCCCTGTGCCCCAGCCAGCCAGCTGTGCCAGGGCTGGGCACTCTGTGTCTGTGCACAGATGGGTTTTTCCAATACAGCTGGTTGGTGGTAAACAGTGTGAAACTCCTGCTGCCCCTACCTGCTGCTGCCTCCAGGTGAGGCTGGGCCCAAATGAGGCTGTTCCTACAGCAGACAGGACCCCAGGGTGGGAGTGAGAGCGGGGATGGCGAGTCGGACCCAGCCTCTTGCAGCCCTCCCTCTCCTTAATCTAGGAATCCAGAGGTTGGTGTGTGTAGCGCACACATGCACACAGGCACACACGCACACGTCTCATCACTGTCCTTCAAATACTCGGCATTAACCTTGGTGGGGGCTGGATTCAGAGCGTATAAAATCAGCTCGAGCCTGGGAACTGCGGCAGAAACTGGTAATCCCAGCAACTCAGGAGGCTGAGGCCGAAAAATCGAAAGTTCGTGGCCAGCCTGGGCAATTTAGCAAGACTCTGTCTCAAAATGAAAATAAAAAGGGCCGGAATGTGGTTCAGTGGTGGAGCTCTCCTGGGGTCAATCCCCAGTACCAAAAAGAAAAAAAAATCACACTTAGTGTTAGTGTTTCCATTTTCGTCAGTGGGAAAGCCGTGTCTCTGAACTGTTGGATGTCGGGCTTTGTCGCTGAAGGTTGGACCTGAACCCAGGACATCTCAGCTGCTGGCTGCCCCCACCACGGTCTCCTTCCATCCAGTTGGGGAAGGAATCACAGGAAGATCTTCGTTCCAGGTCCTTCCTGGTCCCTGAGCCAGGGTAGGGACCCCATCAACTTTGACCCTGGTGAACTTCAGCCACTCCCAAGACCCTGACTCAGTCTCCCACATACAGAAAGGTGAGGGGGGTGATGGCTCAGTCTTTGGGGGCCCCAGGACAGGTGGAGCCCCCCAGCCTCGGCCCTCACGCTGTAGAGAGCCATTCTGGGATCCTGGGGGGAATCGGGGGTGGGGGCCATGGGAGGGTCCGGGCTTTGTAATCTGCACACACAATAAACACAGTGTTGCAGTGCTGCCGGGCCACAGCCTGAGATTCTCAAACCTGGGGTTGGGCAGGAAGCAGCCAGGCAAGGGAGCCCAGGATAAACAGACAATTTAAAGTTTAAGCTCTCAGGGAAATGTGGGTGCCCCCAGCCTCCCTTGGCTCCCCAAACCCACCTGCAGAAACCCCAGGATTATTTCAATGAAAGTCCTGTATTCCCTGTCCCCCAGCTGCCTACGGCCCCCCCTTTAGATTCATTCATTATTGCAAGAGACATTTATTGTTTGTGACTATGTACCAAGAACTACGCCCCAAACTGTCACAGGTACAAGGGACACAAGACTGGGCAGGCTGCACAAGGTCCCCTGACTTTTGAAGCCCTTCTACCAGATGGAAGCTCTGAGGTCCAGAGTGACTGAGTAACTAGCCCAAGGTCACACAGCTCCAGAGCTCAGCCGGCTGGAACCTGGGGACAGGGTGGGGTGCTGACTAGTTCAGGAAGCCTGGGGGGGGGCTCTCTGGAGGAACCCCCACCCTGCACACCCCCAGGCACTACTGAAATCGGAGTACCAGGCTGCGGTCAGAGGACTGGAGGGGAGAAGGGGTGCGGTATTTCCAGCCTCCGTGACTCACTGATTCCACTGGGCTATTTGCAGACCCAACATTCGTCCGCGCGGGGCTGGGGGATGGGGACAGACCCAACTGGCTTTGCGTCTTCGCCCCCTCCCCCCCCAAGGTCAAGTTCGCCTGGGCGCCGCGACACCAGCCTAGCGGCTCTCTCTCGGGCTGGAAAAGGGGGCGACTTCCCGGTGGGATCACAGTCTGGGGACACGAGGGCGATCGGCCGCTTCCGACAGGGCTGGTCCGGTCTCAGGGAGCTCTTGGCCGGCGCTCCAGCCAAGGTGACCCTGCGGCAGGCTAGGGCGGGGACGTGGGGGCGCCGCCCATCTTTCCTCGGCTCCTCCCCCTGGGCGCCCGCAGGGCCGCTTTGTCTGCGGCGCCCCCACCCTTCCCGGGCTAAACATAGGCCGGCTGCCCCCGCCCCAGGAGTAATTATAGCTGCCCATTCATTGAGTGCCTAGTGTGTGCCAGGCGCCCTGCTCACCCCCACAGCAGTCCCGCAAGGTGGGTACTAATTATAATCCTACGTGAAGGGTATGGAGGTTCAGAGAGGTCAAGCATCTGGCCCAAGGTCATCCAGCTGGGTCAGCCCAGCTCAATTCACCCATTGGGCCACTTCCACCCAAACAGGAAGCCGTGGACGCCACCACCCACCCGCAGCTCCTTCAGGGAAAGGGGACTGGCTTGTCGTGGAACTTTGGGGAAAGTGGAAAAGATGTAACCCTCTGTCCTGGAGACCTGTGGGACAGTCTAGGCCAGGTGGTGCCACAGACTCTAAGAGTGATAGAGGACCAGGAGTGGTGGGAACGTGAGGTTAGGGAATGATTCTATAAACTGAGGCCACTGTGCTGACCACCCCCACCCCACACACTTTCACTTTTAAAAAGCAATTTACCTGCCACCCTGTCTGGCTTAAGAGCACAAGTAGGTCACATTCCTCAGCAAACTACCTGTTCTCTGAGGGCGACCTGCAGGCCCCAGAGACAAGAACAACAGGGTATCCTGCCGCCGGGACCTCTGTGACCCTTTCACAGACCAGATCCCAGAACTCAGGGAGATAAAGATAATTCCTCCTAATCATAGGATCCGTAAGAACAGATTCCAATTAGAACCAATCAGCATGGGCCAAAGTGACCCAGAGTTGTCACCCACAGTGGGGACTTGAAAGTCTGATGTCATCCTGCTGTCAGTCCAAAGTCAAGAGCTGGACCTGGGAAGGACTCTCTGGAAACTTCCCTGGAGCCCATGACAGTGAGCGCAGAGAGGCACCTGCCCCTCCTCTCTGAGAGGACCCGCTCTGTCCTCCAAGAGGTCCCCTGTTCTTCTTTCTTATCCCTCCCAATAAACTCATGCCCGTTACTCTGAGTGACATGTCTGAAATCTTTCTGGGGTTGGAAAGGGGGCCTCTGTTGCCGCAGTCTGGCTGGGCACAAAATAACCGAGCCGCCACCAAGCCTTGTAGCTTCAAACGGCAACTCTTTATCCGCGAACTCCACACACACTTCCCGGGAACACACTCCCTCCACTGGGCTCCCGGCGCCCATTCTCCCGGAACCCCCGGGAGAACTCCACGGGAACTCCAAAGTAGTGGGCGCCAGGATCCAGGCAGCAGGATCCGCCCTAATCCCGGAGCAGGGTCACCTTTCAACCATTGCCTCTGGCAAAAATGCCAGGCGTCATTCCCACTAAACTGTGGCTCTCTAGACTCTGTGCTGCCTCAGGTTCACAGAAGGTCCCAGCCCTGTAGCAAGACGACAGAAGATGTTCCCCTTTTTAAGGTCAAAGGCCTCTTCCCCCAGAAAGCCCTTCAGAGACTCCAGCCCAGACACCAAGCCCAGGGAGCCTCAGGCCTGACTGATTCCGATCTCCTTCCCAAACCTTTTCTTCAAAAGGAACCCACTGGTATGAAAGTCTGCGTGCCCTCGGGGGAGGGCGGGCAGAGCCTCACCTCCCACTTGGTTGGCCAGGGACACCTCTCAGGGAGCCAGCCAAAACTCAAGATATGATGGGGCGACCTAGGCTCAGAGAGGCTAGCCCTTTCCCAGGGCCACACAGCAAGGTATGGTGGAGGTGAAATGAAGATCTCAGGCCCCCACCCTCCGTGGACGCCACCTCCCTCCGCCTGCTCCCAGTCCTGGATACTGTTCCCCATGCTGGACGGGGCTTATTCTGCCCTCTTGCTCCAAAGTCTGGATGGAAAAGGAACAAAGCCAATGTTTATTGGACTAAAATATAAGCAAACAAGCCTCAGTAAAGAGGGGAGGGGTCGGTCAAAGACCCTGGAGCCAGACCACCTGGGAGCGGATCTAGACCCTGCTGCTTCTGAGCCTGCGATTTCGAGCAGGTAACTTAACCCCTGGGACTCAGTGGGCTTTCCGTAAAGTGGCACCGATGGTCTCTGCTGCCAGGGTTGCTTGTACATTTGGTGAGTCAACGTGTGACGTGCTTGGTACACAGTAGGTGACGGCTGCTCACCTGCGCCACACTCTGAGGACACCGGGAAGGCTCAGCTGCTGTGGTCTCCTTTAGATTTGGTCCCACTATCCCCACTGTCCCTGGAACCATCAAGACTGGAACTTAAAGCCCCTGCTCCTCTTAGGAGACCCAGTCTGGGCCCTGGGGATGCACTGGAAGGGAAGCCCCGGGAGGCCTGCTCCTCTGGCATCTCCAAGGTGGGCACAGTGCCCTCCCAGGGTGGCTCTGAGGAGCCAGCCAGCTGGGGTTTAGTGTAAACTCAGGAAATGCCAAGCTCTTGTGAGATGGCGGCAGTGGCTTTCTGGGCAAGACAAAGTCTCACTGCTCCAGGCTCTGGCCCCAAACAAGAGAGGGTCCTTGGGGGCAGGGGCTAGAACCTGCTGGCCTGTGGCCGAGCCAGGGGCTCTGGGGAGGGTACTGTTCACAGTCAGCACAGCCAGGCCAGCCCTCAGCCTGGACCCCAGGTGTCCTCTGTCCCCAGCCATCAGGGACCAGTCCTAAGCCATGGGGCTTCCTGTGGGAGTCTAGGGGCTACAGGAAGGGGTGGGGGTCCTCTGGGTGCTCCCTGCAGGGCACAGAGCCAGGCTGCTGGCCCCAGGGAACTGAGAGGAGAGGGCAGGTCGCTTGACTACCTACATACCAGGGGCTGGGGACAGGCTCCTGAGAGGCATGGCAGCCAACCTAGAGCACCAAACTTGATCCCTCGCCGGTTCAGTGAAGTCTTCCACTTACTGATTGATGGAGTCAATCCGTAAGCACCTGTAACTTTGGTTGGTAGGGAAAAAAACCTAAGGTCAAGCCACCTCTGTTTCAATGCTGTATGGACGGACACACTGTGGTTTGTCTGTCCATTCGTCAGTCGATGGTCACTTGGGTTGTTCTCACCTCTAGGCTTTTGTGACTCATAGGGCTGGCGTGCGGGTTTCGTGTGAGCGTGTCGTCCTGTGCCCGTGGGTGTGTGCCCAGGAGTGGAGCTGCTGGGTCATGTGGTAGCTCTGTGCTTGTTTGAGGAAACCCCAGGCTGGTTTTCCACTTGACATTCTCACTGAAGATTTTACAGCCTCGGTCTGGGGTGGAGCTCAGGGGTAGAACGCTTGCCTGGTGTGTGCAAGGCCCTGGGTTCCATGTTCCATCCACAGCACACACCTCTCTCTCTCTCTCTGTCTCTCTCTCTCTCTGTCTCTGTCTCTGTCTCTCTCTCTCTCTCACACACACACACACACACACACACACACAGAGGTTTTACTCGCCTCTCAGTTAAGGAGGGAACCAGTAAGATGTAGTGACCAGTTCAGGGGAGAATCGAGGACAGCAGAGCTGTAGATCGGGGAATACTGGAGTGAATGAGCTTCTTCCGTGGTGGGGGGTGTGGATCCCAGGCCCCATCCACAGGGCAGGACGGAACCTGTTTACTGTAGACACACCTGTGCGGCATGCCTGTGTGTTTTACAATACACGGAGTTGTGAAATGGCTCAAAGGCAAGTAAAGCAGCTCGGCCCCCAGAGAATCAGACAGCATTGGCGACACCGGGGGATTTTTTTTTTTTTTTTGCTTATTCCAAAAATAAAAATATTTATTCGTTTATTTAGGCAGTGCTTGGGGTGGATCCCAGGGCCTCTGTATGCTAGGCAAGCACTTTGCCACGGAGCCGTACATGCCCCTAGCCCAGCCCGAACCATCTTAGGAGCCCTTAACCTTGGGCCTGTTGGCGGCCTCCTCCAAGCTTTCTCTGAGTGGCTGTAGTCACCCACCTCCATGCCGATGGCTCTCCTGTCACCAGCCTTGGCCCCTGACCAGAGCTGCAGTGGGGGAGGGAGCGGGACATGCTCCACCTCCCCACATGTCTCAGGGTCTCCTACATGTGGGTACCCTCCTGAAGCCATCGTCTTCCCATGTTCCTGCTCGCTCCTCCACCATGTGGAGGGCCAGTCACCCACTCAGTCACCAAACGCTCCTGTGCACACCAGGCCCTGCCCTGGGTCCGTGGGAAGCGTTCACTCCTCCTCACTTACACATTCATCAAGGTGCACTGAGCGCTAAAGCACCCTCTGCTTCCACGCCAGGCTTGGAATCTTTCTGATTTGTGACCATGAGCAGAGTGTCGAACTTCTCTGTGCCTCCATTTCCTCATCTGTAAATGGCAATGAAAATCATACCCACTCCCGAGACTGGAGCTGGTGAAGTCAACTGGTGTTGCATGTGGTACCTAAGAACCGTCTGGCCCATAGGCACGCCTGTAATCAGAGAGACTCGGAAGGCTGAGGCAGGAGCATGGCAAGTTCAAGGTCAGCCTGGGCAGCGCAGGGAGGCCTTGTCTCAAAATAAAAAAAGAAATAATAGGGGCTGGGAAGTAGCCCAGAGGTTGGCACTACTGAGTTCAATCCTCAGTACTATAAGGGGAAAAAAAATGAATTAAGCCGGGTGTGGTGGCACACACCTGTCATCTCAGCAGCTCGGAGGCCGAGGCAGGAGGATCACAAATTCAAAGTCAGCTTCAGCAACTGAGTGAGGCCCTAAGCAACTTAGAAAGACCCTCAAAATAAAAGTAAAGGAAAGGGCTGGGGATGTGGCTCAGTGGTTAAAAGCCCCTGGGATTAATCCCTGGTACCAAAATAAGTAAATAATAGAATAAAAATATCTGGACAATAGGAACAATGACAGCCACCTTTACTGAGCAAGTGATAAATGAATGGTCCCTCTGAATCTTCACCAGACCCCCACTACTAAATTCTGAAATGTCACTATGCCCCGCACAGAATGAACACTTATTATTCAGGATGAAAGGGGCATTGGCTTCTGAAAACAGACCCACCTGTGCCTGGCAGGTGCTTCCAGAAGCTCAGTGCCCTCCTATCTGAGGATAGAGCGACACCTGCTGGTGGGTTGTAGATGTGCAGCCACAGACCACCCTTTCTTCCAATGCCTTGACTTTGGCTGACCTCAAGATAGAAGGAGGCAGGGAGCTTTGTCAGCTTTCCTAATGGACATATGTCACCCAGGTTACTCTTAGTATTTTTACCCTGCTGGGATCGAACCCAAGGCCCCATGCATGCTAAGTAAGTGCTCTTCCACTGAGTTCCATTGCCAGCCCGTCATCCAGATTATAACTGTCACCTTCCCGCTAGTGGCTCCCCTTGGCTCCCCTTGGCTCAGCCTCCAGGGTTTCCGACATTCTGTCCACATTCTTTTCAAAGGTGAGGCTGGGCCCGGGACTGTCTGCTCCCAATTTCCTGTGTCCCATTCCAGAATAAGATCTGAAGGCTTCTAATCTCTTTGATCTCTGATTTGATCTCTGCTCTCCAGATGTGCATTGCTTATGTCCCCAACCAGAGGGCAAGCTCCTTCACACTGGGCTTTGTCTGTCTTCTTCATTGATCCATTCCAGGGTCTAGCCCAGATCCTGGCATACAGTGGTGACTAATAAATACTTGGTGAATGAATCAATGAATGGTCAGACTGAGTGGCCCTGATCCTCCTGCCTAAAGCCCCGTGGGTCCCCTCCCATTGTGTACTCAATCTCTAGTCAGATCTGTTTAGCTGTCACTTCCTGCAGGATGCCCTCCCTGACCCCCTGTCCCCAGAGTGAACTGGTCACCTTCCTCTGTGTCCTTGCTGTTACACTTATGTTTCAAAATTTTATTTTATTCATTTTTATTGTTTGAGTCAGCTTTTTCACTGCTGTGACCAAAAGACCTAAAAAGAATAATTTTAGAGGAGGAAAAGTTTATTCTGGGCTCACAGTCTCAGAGGTCTCTGACTGTAGACAGCCAGTTCCATTGCTCTGGGCCCAAGGTGAGGGAGAACTTGGCAGAAGGGTGTGGTGGACGTGGCACCAGGACGTGGCACCTTGTTGAGCTCTACTCAACAAGGACAAAATATATAC